GTGATTCTTCAGTAGCTTTATTTCTGTTCTACTGTTTCTGTAACTCCTCCTCCCTTCATCAACTTCTCTCTGATAGCTATTGCTTCCTTAGGTCCTAGTTTTTCAGGCCAGTGCCTTCTTCATGTCTGATCTCATCACTTCCTTGGCTAAATCTTTTCCTTGGGAGCCTCCCTAGTTCTCTCCACTCACTTACCAGTGACAGTTTTTTGATGGGGAGTCTCCATGTATTGATAAACCCTTTCTCTTTGAAGATGGTAAAATGTGTGAGTAGCCTTCATGTTCCTAGGAGAGACTATAGATAGATAGATAGATAGATAGATAGATAGATAGATAGATAGATAGATAGATAGATAGATAGATAGATTGAAGGATTCTTGTAATTATATTTATAGGTCAAGAAGAAAGAAGTTGGTATGGACAGGTATCTAAACATATTCAATTTTTATGCTGCTTTGTGATCATAATAAATATTTATTCTATCATTCCTCTTTTCTATCTTTTATATACAACCAAGTTTTCCAATTTACCAATCCATCTTCTTCCATTCCTTCTGTCTAATATAGCTCCTTCCCCTAATACATACAGAAGTAAGCAAATAAATAAATAAACCTAGAAATCATTATCCAGCTTTCAATCAGTGGTTCACACCACCGGGATAACTTGCTTTATCTTAATAGTAAGATGCTGAGTGACATGAGCAATAACATGGAAAGATAAGACTGAAGTCATATCGCTCCTTGTCAACATTCTAGGCACATGCTGGTGGGTTTAGGGATTTTTTAAAAAAAATATTATTGAGTAGAGAACCAATCAATCCTGCTTCACAAAATTACTTATGGCAGGTCCTGGACTATTGTTGGGTTTGTAATGAGACATTAGCTTTAGAAACATTGGACTTTCATGACTTTTTATAAAATGCTTTAGGAAAAGGGGGGAATAAAGGAAGGTGGGATGAAGAGAGTGGAGAAACATATATCATGGGGTGCTTTGTGTCATTTGAAAACTTCTGCCAGAGACATTTTGTCATTGTCATCTTTGTTTATCAGCCAAGTCGGACATAGATTTTTTTTTGGCTTGCTCTTTCCTCTTGTTCAGGGATTATTCACCTGTAGTTTTGTTGTTGTAAACTGTTGTCAACTTTATGGTTACCCTGTGAATAAGAGACCACCAAATGACCCTGTCACCAACAGCCCAGCTGAGGTCTTCCAAACTCAAGGCAGTAGCTTCCTTGATTGAATCGCTCTACCTGTAATTGAGTGTTCCTCTTTTGCTACTGCCTTCCACCTTGCCAAGACTCATTGTCTTTTCTAGTGAGTCATGTCTTGATTTTTATTAGGACCCATTTATTTGTCTTTTTGGCAGTTCATGCTATTCACAGAATACTACTCCAGCACCACATTTCAAATGAGTTGATTCTCTTCCTATCAGTTTTCCTCACTGTCCTGCTTTCACACTCAAACACAGAGATTAGAAATACAATGGCATCCTGACTTTGGTATTCCATTATACAACTTTATACTTGAAGATCTTATTTAGTGCCATCATAGCTGTCCTTCCAAGTTCTAGCTTTCTGATTTCTTGATGAAGGTCCCCATTTTGAGTAATGATTGAGTCAAAGTATTGGAAATCTTTCACTTGTCTCAGTGTCTTCATTGTTTTCTTTAAAGTTATGTAAATTATTTTTGGTCAAAAATGTGTTTGTGATAGATAAACTGTTTGCTTCACAAAATTCAATCAGTTGCTCTCCTGCTTCATTTCTTGATCCTAAGCCAAATTCTCCTACAATTTTTGATTCTATTCTGTTTCCTACTTTTATATTCCAGTCACCTACAATTACCAATATGTCATGTTTTGGCATGTGGCCAATTTCCTCCTAGACTTTTGCACAGAATCTTTCCATTTCTTCTTCTTCTACCTCTATAGTTGGAATATAAACCTGGATTATGGTTATATTGATTTTCCATGAAATTTTATTGGTATTATTTGGTCAGACTTCCCTTGACTGCTTTTGCTGCCTCTCTCCTCACTATTAATACCACCCCATTTCTTCTTAGCTTTTCATCTCCTGAGGAGAATACTGTGTGACTCAAAATGTCCAGTTCCTGTTCACTTTAGTTCTCTTTCATCAAGTATTGCAATGTTTATACATTCCATTTCTTTTTTCACAATGCCTTGCTTCCCCTGAATCCTGCTTTTCACATTCCATCCACCTATAATATGTATTGTGCAGTTTTGGACTTTGCTTTCACCTGTGCACACATAAATAGCTGAATGTCATTTTGGCTTGAGTCTATCTGCATCTTTAGCCACAATTCTGCTTCTCTTTGCTCTCACCTCAGTTGAGTGCCTTCTGGCCTAGAAGTCTCATCAGCTCTTGGGAGTCTGCACTATCTCTTGTTTCATGTTGGATTGTCTGATCACAGGGTTTTCAAGGCAGAAAGTCTCAGGAGTGGTTGACCATTGCCATCTATTGCACATTACTAACAAGCATTGTCTATGGTATCATTGCTGTTGTTTAAGAGATCTTCTGCCAATGTCACTGCCCACCCCACAATACCTGCTGCCCAGTAGCTGTTTGGCACATTTAGTCTGGCTCTTCAGCGAGGCCTATCTGACAAGGGAAGACCCTAGAAGCAGTTCTGCCAATTGCCTCACAGGAGCATGCAAATCCATCACCACAGCAAGGTAATGTCATGGTGGGCATTCTGAAATGCTTATGTTCAAAAGTTTTTTACTGGGCTCATCCAGAAGGGGAAAGTCTCTGGAAGTATTGAGAATTTCCAGTCCTTTTTGTTTTGACTTTACTTGCCCATTCTCAGGTCTGCATCCAAACTCTTTCTTGCATTATCTAAGGCAGGGGTAGGCAAACTTTCCCCTTTAAGAGCTCCCAGAATCCCAGGAGCTATTGGCCAACATGGCTGAGGCTTCTGGGAGCTGAAGTCTCTCGGCCCTTAAAGGGGAAAGGTTGCCTACCCCCGACTAAGGTTTCATCATTTACCCTTCCCTTGTCCTCTTCCTTTTCCCCATCCCATTGATCATGCATCAAATATAGACTCAGACAACATTTCATTAAAAGGAGGAAAGAAGGGGGAGGAAAAAAAGAAAAAGAAATGTGGTAGCACTGCTAACACCAACTGGTTTTTATTTTGGCATTACCTTTGGGGATATAAGCCCAAAATTTGAATACAATACAGAGTGATAATAAATGCTCAGATATAAAGTATATTTACATAGTTGTGGGAGTGAGATGGAATGTAATAGAATCCAGAAAGATGCAAATCATGATCTTTGCCCTCATAATTTGCACCTTTCTGGATTAGATTATAGTCTGGAAGAATCAAATCTTGACCAAAATGTATAAAAGGCCTCAGTTGAGCCCTAGAAGTTGAGATAACATGGTGTTTATTTGGGGGAATCTCAGACCCTGCGCTACTTTTCCATGGACTGACTACTGACTTGGATACAATAACTTTTTTCCTTGCACCATATTATTAGTAGATAACAGGTCTCTCCTTTGCAAAAATCCATGTGTAAATTTTGCACAGAAGGAGTCCTGAACTGTGAAAATTCTAATCAGCCAGGATTCTCCTTGTTA